TTGAGTCTCGTCTACAAGAATGAACTGTGAAAATTATTTAATTTATTGTTGTTTGACATAACAAGAAGAAAGATTGATGAATTACATAAATAGAGATTTTGTTGAGATTAATCGTCGATTAAGTTAATCGGAGTTTGATTGAAGTCATCTTGAGTCTCGTCTACAAGAAAGAACTGTGACTTCAAACCAAGTTAAATGAATTTTTAATAAAAATTGCGCGTCTACATTTTTTTCAAATTCGCGCGTGATAAGGCTGGCAACGTTGCGCGACAAACTTCTCGCCATCGTCGTGCGCGACGGAGAGGAGAGGGCCGCGCTTTGTCAATCTCTCTCCGTCGACGAACAGTACCGCGACTTGGACGCGAAGCTTCGAGAAAAAAGGGAATAAGGCGATCCGTACACTCGGGATAGGACCGCACCGACCTCGTCCAGAGTGCGATCCCCGTCGTGGCGGGTCTCTCGACTCCTGGGTGGAGCGCGGCGTGCGTGGCAAATTCTGCCAACTATTTCCGGCGGCACACGGCGCCGCTGACCGCAAGGTGACGTTTGCTGTTCTCTCGCCGTCGAGGTGTGTTGCTGCCGGAGCCGTGTCGAGGGGGGAAACGAGAGGCGATAAGTCCGTACTGCAGACGCACACGTCAGGCTGACGAAACTTGAGCGTCAAGGCGTACAAAGGCCACGCAGTAATTGGAGGCGTTTGGAGTGTCCCTTGAGTGTCCGTTCTGGTTCCTCGTTGCAGGTCCCAACGGGAGGTGTCCTCGAGGTGTCTTCGGGCTAACCCCTTCTGCGCGCTGGTGCACTCGCTTGTTGCCTCCCGCCCCCCGGAAAAGATGGGTCTCACAATCAGCAGCCTGCTCACCAAGCTGTTCGGCAAGAAGCAGATGCGGATACTGATGGTGGGCCTCGACGCCGCCGGCAAGACCACTATACTCTACAAGCTCAAGCTCGGCGAGATCGTCACCACCATACCCACGATCGGCTTCAACGTCGAGACGGTCGAGTACAGGAATATCTGCTTCACCGTGTGGGACGTGGGCGGCCAGGATAAGATCCGGCCGCTCTGGAGGCACTACTTCCAGAATACCCAGGGCCTCATTTACGTAGTCGACAGCAACGATCGCGAGCGGATCGGCGAGGCGGAGCGCGAGCTGGCGAACATGCTGAAGGAGGACGAGCTGCGGGACGCGGTGCTACTGGTGTTTGCCAACAAGCAGGATCTACCCAACGCCATGTCCGCCGCCGAGCTCACCGACAAGCTGGGCCTCAACTCGCTGCGAGGACGACACTGGTACATCCAGAGCACCTGCGCCACCCAGGGACACGGGCTGTACGAGGGTCTCGACTGGCTGAGCACCGAGCTGGCCAAAAAGTGATAGCGCCTCATCGCATCCGGTCTACTCTTTAAGAACAGCTCATTCATCGTGTATGGACGTGGAGGACGGGCGGGGACGTCACTCGGCAATTTCCACCTTTGTCAAATTTGTATCGTTGTAACAGTCGATCATGTACAGTTTAACGGACGTTGCGTTTTACAATTGCTTACAGAAATTGATGCGAAATGCGAATCGAGGATATTAAAAGGCGATCTGACGATCTCTACGTCATTGTCGCGCGCGATCCGAATTCGCGTGAATTTGTGCTTCAGGGAGGAAAACTTGTTTTATAGGAGGACCGGGGGAACATCGGGATATAACAGACGATTCTTGCGTCATTTATAAGAATATATATATACCTATATATATATATAAAGGTTGTACATAGTACTAAGTTCTTTCATACACACCTCTCATTTGCCAAGTGAATTCTAATTTTGCCTTTTCGATGCATCGAGTGACAAAAGTACCGCGTTTCAACCAGTCGAATTTAATCGTGCGGAAGAGATTTATTTATGTATTATTACGCGTGGAAAAAAAAAATTAGTATATAATTTGTTTTCTATCTTGATCTGCGTCCGTGCTATTCATAAAGAATGACATACAATGTATGTATTATGTGATGTTATACACAGGTCGTTTGCACTTTCCTGTTCTTCTATAATAAATATAAGGAAATTTTTGGAAATAAGAAAGTAATTGCTAACTTGCATAAAGTTTAGTAAACGATTAATTTTAATATTGCGAAGGAGGATAAAACTTAACTAAGGTTTACAATACCTTTTGCGATTTTCCTTTTTAATAAAAATAGACTCTTAAGCTGTAAGAAACATCTAGAAATCATTGTCACAATAAACCCTTAATCATATAGAAAATACATAAAAGTCGACCAATCTTCTCACCTTGTGAAATCAAGATATGTTGTACTTCTAGTTTTGTTTCTATTAATGTCAATCATTAAAAAAAAAAAAAAAAATGAAAGGAGCCAGGCGAGGGATTAGTACTCGTTTGCTCGCTCATCAAAATCATGTATTGTCGTGTTAACTAAACAACTTTTTGTTACGGTACAAAAACAGTACGGTACAGTGCTACGAGTACTGTATAATGTATAACGTATCAAACGATTTGTTAAAAGTATGGTGTTACTTTTTCGTACATAGCCACAGCAATCTATTCCATTCTCTATTCCGAGAAATATATAGCAAATAAATTACAGGAGAAGGAACGCCACTATTTTACGAAATTTATATATATGTACATGGTACACGGTCTTAAAGTACAGCGGTAAAAGTAGGTAATCGTTGAAACGTTTAGTGCGCGACGTCACTATATATAACATACCCACACGTTCACTCTTTACAACTTGTAACAGACTTTTCTTTCGTATATTCAGTATCTTATTTATTTTTTCGTAGTTTTATTATACAAAAAAATATTTGATCTCCTCTCCTTTATCACGCCCGCGGTCGCGCAGTCTCGAAGCGTTACCATCATAATACAACCGTCTGTAAAAGCTCTCTAGGGTATATAATATTCTTTTTCTTTTTAATTTCAATCAATATTGCCTCGCAATTCGCTCAACAGTTATTAAGTCTATTGCGAATAGTCAGCGTTAACTTCTATGCACATTCTCGTTTTTTTTTTTTTAACACTAAGGATCGACTGACTCTTGGAATAAATATTTACGCATTACGCTCGTATTACGCGTCGGATAAACGCAACGTAATAGATATACGGATGGTGTAGAAACAAGAGCGTTATAATATTTACAACCGTTCTCAGCAGCCGGACGGGCGGATACTCGGCGGCTTGCCCGGATCCTCCTCCAGAAATGGCGAGTACGATAAAACGATGAGGGAGCGTAATTGACTCATTTACGTACCCACGTGCTCTTCGGCGGCGACGTATTGCTCTTACCCAGCGCCGGGAAGTGGTTCTCAAGCGTGTGACTGGACATATGCGTTCTAAAGTCCGGGCCGTTCTTGAGAACCTGGCCGCACGCGCCGCACATCTCCAGCCCCTTCGCCTTGCCGCCCGCTTCCCTCTTGTGCACTGCGAACAGCTCCTGCTGCTTCGCGATATCCGGCAGCAGCGCCAGCAGCTCGGGGAACACGCTCTCGAAGGCGTTGGCGCCCATGACTTCGCGACAGTGCGTGTAGTACTCCCGGGCGTCGCAGGTGCCGCCGCGGAAGAGGCCGCTCACGTAGCGAAACTCCTCGATCTTGTCCTGCTCCACGAGGACCGCGTTGAGCTTCGCCACCAGGCACGTGTTGCGCTTTTGAAAATCCGGTGGCGACACGTAGGCATGAGCCATACGTTTGCTGCTGTTGTCCGGCAGAATGGAGTAACTCTCGCCGGAACTGTTTGTAAACGTCAGGCCGTTGCCGCCGTGCAGCCCGTCGAAGCTGTTGTACTTGATGGAAAAACCGGGCGGTGGTAGGGTCGGCGAGGCGAAACCGGGTGGCGGATTCGTGAAGCCCGGCGGTCTGCTGCTGGTGCTACCTAAGGCGGGAAAATCCTCCGTCCGATGGATATTATTGTTGGTCGTGTTCAAGCTGTCTATCTTCAGCTCGCTACGCTTCCTCTGCTTCTCTCCGTTCGACGACGAACCGTCGCCTCTGCTTTCGGATTCCGTGCTTATAACGGCCGTAACACCCGAGTTTCCGTCCACATTGTTTTTGCTTTTTCTCTTATCCTTCTTGCTCGCGTGCTCCGGCTCCTTCGAGTTCTTGGACACGCTGCCGTCGCCACTCGCATTGTTGGTACCCTGCGTCCCCGCTCGCGGAATCTCCTTGGAAACAACGCGGGAGTTGTCCGTATCACCGGTGTGCAATTCGATGTCTTTCTTCGTTACGACAGTATTTACATTCGATTTGGAGCTGCTGGACTCGTTGCCGCTCGAACTGTTGCCGCTCGAGGCCTGCTTCGCTTTTTTCTTCTTCGCCTTGCCCTTCGTCTGATCCGTCGTCGTTGCTTTCGTGTTGTTGTTGCTAGCACCAGTGCTCTGGACGTTGCTGGCATTCTGCGAGTTCTGTCCCCACGACGGCACCACCGTGATTACCGATTGCTTCTTCGACTTCGACGACTTCGACAGACTCGGAAAGTCTTCGCCGGAACGAATGGGCGGCGCCGACGGTATCGAGGGCGGCGGCGCGACTCTCTTGGACTTGGGCGTGTTCGCCGATGCCGATTTCGAGCAGGTCCACTGCAGCACCTCCTTCCACTGGGTCGAATTGGCAGTACTGGTAGACGGCTCAGAGCCGCCGCCCAAGGCGGGGAAGTCGGAATCTATCGACAACTGCGCGGGACGTATTCTGATGTTGGGTCCGGACACTCTGGTGGTGACGGTGCCGTTGGGTTCGTGGTTCACCTGAATGGAGACGTTCGAGGACGCGGAACCTTTCTGACATTGCGGCAAGCCGCTGGATCCCGTGGCGTTGCTGCTGCTGGAAACGCTGAAGTTCACCGTCTTCGAGATACTGGGGCCGGCCGAATCCGGGCCCAATGCCGGAAAGTTCTCGTCCGTCACCGCGAGCGGTTGGTTTCTCACGGTGCTGCGAATGGTGACGTTTCCTCTGCTCTTGGGCTGAGTCAGCGTGGGAACGACAGGAGCGGCACTACCGCCCAACGTGGGAAATTCATCTGTGCTTTGCACATCGACGGACGGTTGTCTCGTGAAGCTAGGCTCGTTGTTGGACACGAACGGATTGGAGCTGCTGGGTACTGAGCTCTGCTGATAATCCCTGGAGCTGTAATCCCTGGAGCTGTAATCCCTGGAGCTATAATCCCTGGAGCTGTAATCCCTGGAGCTGTAATCCCTGGAGCTGTAATCCCTGCCGTTGTAGTCCCTCGCGCTCCTCGACGTGGACGCGCCCAGCATACCCCTCCGATTCATCCGATTCTCGCCGCGCGGCGCCAACGTGAACTCCAGTTCTAACGTTCTCGCCTGCTTGGCGGCGGCTTTACTCAACTGCTTGCCGTGAACGCTGGCTTTGTGCGCCTTGAGATCTATGTCGGTCCGAAAAACACTCGTAAACTTTTCCTCCGCGCACACCCCCTCCTCGCACAGGTAGTGCTCCTGCCGGAAGTGATCTCTGAGATAGTCGTAGGTGCTGTAATACTGATGCAGACCGTCCGCGTCGCAGAAGTGACAGTACAGATGGTCACGCCGCAGATGCCGGTACAGCTCGTCGTTGTCCATGTACCGCTGATCGCAAAACTCGCAGAGCGGATGACCCTTGTGGCTCTTATCGTCGACGTCACCTTTCCTCCGATGCGTAGCTAGACTAGACCTCGTGTAACAACGCCTTTCATGCGAAAATATCTGTCGAGAAGCAAACGAATTAACAAACGAATTAATATTAGATACGAGACATATCGCGACTGTTCGTTTATCAATTATCGATTAAAAGCAATGCGTCGATCAAACTGCCTACCTTTAAGTTCTCTACACACAAGTCACAATAATGTAGCTCGTGCTGTTGACGCATGTGCTCTTTTAAACTATTGAAACTGCTAAAGACCATCTTCTCTTTACATATCGAGCAAGTGTTGGCTAACAATTCAGTGAATTTCTCTTGAATGTCGAGGCTGCTGAAGTAGATGTCGTATCGGGTGTCCAGCAAGTTGGTACCGGTCAGGCTGGGGAAGGGTTTGATCTCATGCGTGAACACAACTTTTGGCAGATCTTGGCGACAGATGGGACACTCGTTCTGACGGCAGAGCACCCTCATCCGGGTGCTGCACTCGTAACATACTGGATGCTCGCACATGCCGATGCTGTAGATGTCGACATTCTTGTAGCACACCACACAGGTATTATTGTTAAAACTATCATTGCTCCCAGACATCCTCGCGACAGAAATTACGATGCCTCTCGGTTTCACTTTCGCGACTGAACTAACGTCCCGCTGATTCAAGCTTCTTGCTCTTGCGAACGCGAGGAGCTTTCCTACGACAATACGAGCGATTCGGCTGGTTTTCACTGACAGGTCTCTCTGTGACTACCTGAAACAGAACACAGCGGTGAGGACGGTGCGCTCGCAAGAGAAGGAAAAAAAAGAGGAAGAGTGCGAGAGAGAGAGAGAGAGGTCGCGCGCGCGATAAGGTGGGCAATCTTTGCGTGTAATCGCTTATCATCCGCACGGTAAAGACGTGGTGACACGTATCGGCCCGCGAACTACGTCACGCGACGCAATCCTCGAAAATATCCCGGCCGTACCGAACTGGTCCGGAGTCCTCCGCGTCGGGATTCGTCGAGGCTGGCTGGCTCGCTGGCTGGACACGATTCCTCCGAAAATAGATAACGGCCGCGGAATTGGCAGCGGTTTCAGCAGATGGCAGAATCTCGGCGGGACGGCCCGCCGAGGTTATTGGGATACCCTCGACGAGTTCGGGATTCCCGCGATCCAACGATCGATCGGTCGGACGATTTACTTTCGCGACCGCGGATCGAAACGGCTCGAAACGGGAACCTCGTGCGTGCACCAAGACGACCGCCAAGGCGGGAAGGAGAGAGAGAGAGAGAGGGAGAAAGAGAGAGAACGATAGGACGGAGAGTGCGACGGAGGGAGACGGGAACAGATGAGAGTAGATGGACTCGGCCGACCTCGGTCGAGAAAGGGCCCGACCGAACGATCCTACCTGCGGCTCCGTACCTGCGGCACGTTATGTATGTACAATACATACATACGCCACACACGGTGCGGCGCGCCGACGGCGGAAAACGCGGAAGCCGACAGAAATTACCTCGCGCGAATCCGGAAGCGTGCCAAGCGGTTGCGTGCCCGTGTCTCTCCACCTCTATCACGCCGCATTCGTATTCTCGCGTCACGCGACGCGGCGACGTCGGTCGACGACGGCGATACGTTGGATACGTACCGATCGGTGATACCGGATTATCTATATAGATTCGTCGAGATTCTAAATTATTATTTTATTACGAAATCACGGGTATCGGGAACCTGCGGTGGAAATTAACGCTCCTCTTTCGTCGAGATCGCTGAGAAGAAAAGAAAAACGGCACGGACGCGGAAACGTTGTTACGCGCGCATTTGTAACAACGAATCGTTCGTTATCGATCGAGTACCGCGTACTCCACGTCTCGTGACTTTACCACGAGATGAAATGTTGGAACCCGCGCGGTTGATCGACATGGTTCAAAAGAATTACGGATTGACATTTTTGGGAAGAGAAAAAGAGAATTTTCGAATGACATTAAAGGCCTGTTTTTTATAGCTGAACTGCTGCACTGGTTCACCGTTTATCTTTCTCTTTCTACATTGGAAGGAGAAAGATAAACTCTGAACTAGCGTATAGCCAGTTCAGCTATAAAAAACAGACCTCCAATCTGAACGTGACAATGTGAAGTATTCCATTCTCACGGAGCATTGTGGCCTGCTATCGAAAGTTTTTTTAAATTTAAATTGAAAATAAATTTCATTCTGCTCTATCTTTATATTAAACGTATATATATCGGAGTCCTTGTTCTTTTAGATTTTTTCTGATTTTCACTTTTCTTCAAACATTTATGAGACGACTCGTGAATCGCGAAAACGTACGTGCGATAACTATTGCGTTAAAGTGTGCTTTAATTTTCGACAGTTTATTAACTCGTAAATAACGACACTTGGGTCGAAAACTTTTACATTTCAACAACAATGAAAAACACAAAGCTCAGTATATATTAGTTCTATTATTGCTTGAGAATTTTTTTATTCTTTCTTAATTTTTGTTAGAAAATATTGAGTAAATCTCTATATATTACGTACTTAATTTCACTTTAATATATACAAAGAGTGCATTATACAGATCAAAATACGGATTAGTATCTTCATAATTATTGTGTGCACGAGACCGTAAAGAACAGGACCTCAAATGCAGTCTACAAAAATGTCAAAAATGTCAGGCATTAATTGACTTGTTAAGTGTGTTTACTTGTGCCTTCCTCTGTCCAACTCTATGCGTTTTCCAGCAAGAATACATCAGTGTGTAACACGTGAATTTTATCTTTGTTTAATGCTGGCAAACAACAAGAATGACATGATTCATTGCGTTATACAGTATTCTTGCTGGAAAACGCACTGTATTAAGAAAAAACAAAAAATAGATTTACTGAGAAAAAATATGCGTGAACGCCAATACACGTCAAGCCAGCGTCCAAATTTAAATTATACATATATCTTGGACAGCAGGAATCCTTGCATGCGCGGATCATTAATTTATCCCTGTGGAAAATCCTGTTATCGAGGGAATTATATATCATCGCGGCAGCAGGTGCCATCTGCAGAGATCAGCGCAATATATTTATAAATGTAAAATTGTGGTTGCATCATAATTGATCACAACACATCTTATATATATCCGGTTCCATGTCGATTAGCCGCTAACCCCGATGAACTACGGTTTCTTTCCTCGCCATTGCATATTTTATACAGGCCGTTGTGAAATTTATCGATCTTTTCTCAGCCGGAGATTCTTTGGAACGCTTCTCCAATATCGACGACGAGACGTCTCGTAACTTTTGAACTAAGCACGATAAAAAAAAAATCAAGAAAGAACGAAAGCAAAAATCCACGTTCTTCACTGGAACTTTAAATAAAAATGTTATCTCAAAGTGATCTCGCTTCAAGGATATTTAACGTTAAAAGCTTGACGTTTACAGACGTGACATCTACAGAAGATCAAATCGCGGCACGCTTATTATAATATCAGGTGCAAATTGTGATCAGCGAGAAAGGAAAAAAATAAGAAAAGAAATTCTCAGTCGCGCGAACGGTCGTGGAGTGTGTCGCGACTTCCTCCCTATCGGCAATTCCCGAGTGTCGCAATACCGGAAGATTGCGTAAGGATTCGAACTACTTTTGCGCGCGCATAGTACGAGGTGCTTGATTGAGGAGAGAGAGAGAGAGAGAGAGAGAGAGAGAGAAAGAGAGAGAGAGAGTGTGTGTGTATGTATGTGAGAAAGAGAGAGAGAGATCCTTGCTGCGCGAGATCGGTGGCTTTGCATATGCGTAACAAGCGCGCGCGATGATGTAAGCAATCCGTTTCGCGCGCCGAGTCTTTTAATATCCGAGAAAATGCGCAAACAATTATTTATTGATTCAAGGCAGTCCTCTTTCGGTTTTTACTTGCGTCGTGGTTCGAACTGCGTTGACACCGCGCTCTGAGTCTCTCTCTCTCTCTCTCTCTCTCTCCACCTTCCCCCTTTCCGCCTCTCTCTCATTCTCGTTCTGTCTCTCTCTCTCTCTCTCTCTCTCTCTCTCTGCGTTTATTAATCAGGAATGACGACACGTGTGCTCTCGACGAGCACGAGATAGAGAGGAGCGACAGTGATGTAACGAGGTGAGCGCGTACCTGCGGCGTTTAACCTATCGATCTCGCAATTATTGCGACCGCACGATTTACAATGCGATCGATAACGATCGACCGCTTGTTTGTCGCGGCAACAAGCGATGTATAAATATTACGTCGATCGACTTCGCTGAATTTTTCTCGAGCTAGCTTCTCACTTTTAGATTGAAAAATGTTTAGCAGATTTAATGCATTTCAAGTTTGTTTCTATTAATGTAGATTAACTTTGATCTCGGTTTAATTAATTTATTTCTTTCGTTTAAATTAATCCTTATCCGATCTTCTGCATCAATGTTTTTGTCTTTAAAATATTTGTCATTTTTTTTGTGTCAGTTATAAAGTATATTCTTATTATAATAGAAAAAAGGTTTCTTTCGATCTTTTAATTTACTGACCGCCTCTCCGCGATTACTTGATTACGGCTCGAACCGTATCTTTATGATAGATTTAATCGACAAATCCTACCTGATACGTGCAATAATGCAGTCGCCTTCTTTCAGTGATAAGAAATAACAGCCGTCGCGCTTTTATATGTACAAATCTATCATGTTTTTCTAAATATATAATTTACGACGGTATAGCGTTCGCGTTAGTCATCGTGTTGTCTATGCGAACGTTCATCGTTCGTCGATAATATCGTGGAATTTCAAACAGGGTGACGTTTCTCATTATCGCCGAGTCAAACGGAGGGACGTAATCGCGGCAAGACAACTCTCGTATTCTCGTCCAGGTAATCTCGGAATTAACAGCCTCGTCTTATCCGACCGCGAGTGATAGCGTACGGTAAGGTCACGCGCGCGCGCGCGCGAGACGGCGACGACGGATCTCGCGCCGCGGCTCCCGGCGGTCCGCGCGTTCGCGCGGGCGAGCGCGCGCGGAAGAGGCAGTTTGTCGTCGGGAGGCGCGATTATCGTCTCGATCGGGGAGAGTTTTCGTGCCGCGGAAACGATCCACCGCGCGGTGTCCCTCGTTGACGCGCCCGCGGTGCACGGCTGCGAGAGAGGAAAAAAAAAAGATAACGTGTCACGCGCGCGGGGCGCTCGACGCTACCGCGACGCGACGGTGCGCGCCGCCCGCGATCTCGCGGCGGCCAGTAGATCCGACGCTTTTCGCACGGGCGGACTTTGAAGCGTCATCCGCGCCGTGATCGTTTATACGCCGTGCGGTCCGTGTGCCGTGTGTCCGTTCCACGAGGAGCAGCAGAGGCGGGCGCATGCGCGCGATCCGCGTCGCCCCGTTTCCTCGCATCCGTTGCGCGCGAGCCGAATCTCGAGCGAGTTGGATCCCGCGCGAAGGAAGCGACGGGAAGGAACGGGAGGATCGTGCCGATAGAGAATCGTCAGCATGGCGATGAGCGCGAGCGCGCGTCCCCGACACAGACGCACAACAGGTGTCACTTGCGCCGAGCGCCGTCGCTGACTGAGAACGGTGCGCGTGGCAGGACGGACGGACGACGGGGGCGCCGCGATCGCCGATCGGCCCAATCAGGTTAGACCTTTTTCTTTCTTTAATTCTTCTCTCTCTCTCTTTCTTTCTCTCTCGTTTTCTCGTTGACGCAACGTGGAGCCGTTCGGAGCTCGGAGCAACATGACAAGCTGACCGCGCCGGCGTCGCGCGCAATCGTGTGCGTACGATATTAGAGAGAATAAACACAGGGCGTACTTGTCACAGGAAGTACTGAATGTTGTTTTCAAAAGGAATTCCAAGGCAAATTCGAAATAAAACTTCTGTCATTGGAGTATAAAGCCCGGATATACGCTCCGATGCGAATTATTCCGTTCGCTGAGAGGAGAATTGAACGCGGTAAGCGATTACATTAGCTAGAGTCAGATTTTGATTGCGACACATTGGATTATTCGGTATTTTATGACAGATTCATTTCGAAATATCTCCCAGTTTGTTGAAAATGTCGACTGCAACCTAACCTGCTTTTGAAATTTTATCCGTTTTAAAGTCACCAATTTCTAAAGTTGTCGTGCATGCCGACACTGTATATATATATTCATATGGCGGTATTTAATCCTCTTTGCATGATCAGGATTGCGACAATAGAAACGCTGCATTCATTGCATATTACTTCAATTCTTCAATGAATTTTTAAACTAAAAACGGGTCGCTTTCTGTTCCCTGTGAATACGCCTCCGCATGGGCGTCGCTTATTGTATCAGGAATTTGTATCTAATTGTGTCGTAAAAGCAATAAGAATCAGGACAGTATTGCGAATTAACCTTAAATAAATATTAATAAGTACTACTAACAAAGTGAAAGTCGACATTTGAAGTTA